CGCCCCCAGAATTCCCATTTATTGGACCATTTTTTTTATTATTATATTATAATTTTTAATAATTATTTATATAACAATTCCTTATAATGATTTATTATATTATAATTAATGATTTCGTGTTTCAAACTTTATCATACCTGGGATGTCTACTGGACTCTTGTTTGGACAGATTTAGGTGAGTTATTCCTAAGATTTACTAAGAATTACAGGCCTACAATATAAAACAACAAATTGCCATGAAAAACAATGTACCGCTTTGGCATGGTAAAATCCTGCATAATCATACCGCCAGGGAGGTTAATTAACATTGGGGGGAGGGAAAAAAATCTTTGACTTTAATGTCACTTTAAGGCTACTTGGTGAGAAACAGCAACCTTGTCCTATTTGAAGCCACAAGAGACAATTATGGTCTGTTCAAGCAGCCATGTGACCTGGTCCAGTGACTCCGCCACAAAATAAACTGTTTTATAATACTAAAAAAGGTATGTACCAAATTAAAAACCGTATTCAGTATATAATTATAGGATCTACTGTGTCTATCTAAGCAGACTTCCAAGAATAAAGCCATGAAACTACCAGTCCTCGATTATAAATGTACAGTGACAAGGTGAAAATAACTACAGTGTAGGAACATATCAGAAAGGCATTGTAAAAAAATAACAATAATAATGGTGTGAGTGACACAACCACAGGGAGTGGATCTGTAAGCGAGAACAATCATTTTTCAGAAATACTGCTGAGAAACCTAGCAATTGTTGAAACAAAACAGGGATGTAAAAAATACACATGCATAAAAAGTACTTAATTAGAAACATTAGCAAACCAAAAGATTTTACTTTAAGTTCTATTTTCCAGTTGAAAAGCAGCAATTCAATCAGCGAACTGCTAATCCTGCCCACAAAACATTGCAACTGTGCTCAAGTCAGAAACTCCATTCAGCTTTACTTTATGTTTACCTAATTATTTGCAGCCATATTCAAAATGATCCTAAAGCTGATTTTGTGCAGCACTGCAGTCTCTGGTTACATAAGTCTGTGCTATGCAAACTTACATACATAGTTGCTAAGGTTGAATACAGACACAGGTCCATTGAGTTCAACCTCTGGGTTTTGTGTGTGAGTGTGTGTCTTTGTTACTAAGATTACCTGTACCCCTGTGTATCTTGTGCACTGAGAAAAATATCTAGATTGTTCTTGATTGATTCCATACTCTCAGCTGATACCACTGTTAGACTTGTGCGCCGTCAAAAAATGTGTTTCGTTTCGGAATATCCGTTATTTCGTGTCCGAAACTCAATTCGGATTCGTTCGATATTCAAAGGTATTTTGCTTTTTAACTTCATCATAACGAATGTTCGTAACAGAACGAAATTCCGTCAACGGAATTTCGTATTTCCTGCCTGTATCGTAATGTAACCCTCAGCAGCAGCGGATCCGTATTTCGTATTAAAAAAAAAATCTTGTCATGTTGTTCAACCTCATTTACAGGGGTAATATTAGTTCCCGTTTCAAAGAAATTTGGATCCGAAATTCGTTAACGGAATTTTGTATTTCGGATATAATTCGGAAACTGCAATTCGGATTTCGGATGCTTCCAAATTACGAACTTCAAGAAAATTCGTACGAATTTCGATTCGTAACGAAACGAATCGCACATGTCTAACCACTGTCTGTGGACAGTAAAGAATCTCCTTCGCTGTTTAAGATTAAACCTTTTCACTTCCAGTTTCAGATGGTGGCCTCTTGTATTGTTGAGTGAACTGACAGTAAACCGTTTATTACTGATTATTTTATCCCCATTAAACAATTTGTACATTAATGTCATGTCCCCTCTCAGTCTCCTCTTGGCAAGAGTGAACAAGTTTAACGCTTTCAAACTTTCCTCATAGGTTAGGTCCTCCAACCCCTTCATTAGCTTTGTCCCCCTTCTATGGACTATCTCCCGCTCAAGGACATCCTTTCTATGGATCGGTGACCAAAACTGAACCGCATACTCAAGATGTGGCTGGGCCAGCGATCTATAAAGGGGCAGAATTATGGATTTCTCTTAACAGTACATTGCCTTTTTTTATACATGTTAGTATACATGCTTGGCTTATTTGCTGCTGCCTGACTTTGAATACTGTTACTAAGGCGACAGTCCACTAGGATCCCAAATCTTTTTCCACCTCTGATTCCCCCAGTGGAATGCCCATTAATGAGTAGCTTGCACTCGTATTTTTAACTCCGAAATGCATAACATTATACTTCTCAATATTAAACCTCATCTGCCATGCAGATACCCACCCCCCTATTTTATCCAGATCTTCCTGCAATATTTCTATGTCTTCTGTCAAGTTTACTACTCTACAAATTTTGGTATCGTCAGCAAAAATTTAAGTATTGCTATTATTAGCAGTCCCAATATCATTGATAAACAGGTTGAACAGCAATGGCCCCAAGACAGAACTCTGTGGCACGTCACTATCAACCGTGGACCACACCACTGTCAAACCTCCCTGTAATGCATCGAGGTGTATGAGCAAGACAGTGGTGGGCATGTCTACACACCTTGAAGGGTGTGAATGGAATAGTGGAACACACTGACCATCATACACTGTTAGAATTGTGTTTGCTCATCAAAGCATTCCATCTTGCCATCATTGTGTCAAGTAATTTTGCTTGAAAGCTCTTTAAGAATGTAATCCAGACCTGCTACTTGAATGAAATCCTAGACATATTTAACAGATCTTGCACATGCTCATTACAGTACGTACAATTTTTCCCAAACGAAAATCACATTCTCGGTAGGAATTTTGTCCGTTCAGATAAGAAAGGGAAAAAAAATTCCATTCTACTCCTTCCATTTTCCTCATCACTATGCTTGAAAACAAATTTTGATTGGACCCCATTAGAAAATGTAACATATGTTCAAAAAACAAACATTTTTCAAACAAAATTTCTCCTGGTGTAAGGTCAGGTAAGTTTATTTTTGTTTCTCTCTGCATAAATCCCCAAAACCTGTCATGAGCCATATTCAAATATATATATATATATTGACATACACACATACACACAGTGCCTGTAATTCTGTAAAGAATTTCAGGCTTCCCTTATACCTGATAGTAATTCTGTTCTTGTCCTTGTTCATTGTATTGAGTAATTTCTTCTCACTTGTTCGGAGTTGGATATCAGAGAACTCTTTACACAAAGATATGATTGTGACCTGAATATATGATATTGATGATGATGAATAATGATATTAATGAAAAGATTTGTATTTGAATACAATTACACTTCACTTGTCAACAAATAAAGTACCAGTGTTGAAATGAAATTACCATTTCTGACAAGGTCTCTTTTCCATGAATACTGTAGAACAGTTTGGCTGTGTCAAAGGCAATATAATATGATGCTAATAGTTTACCAGTTTCTAGAAGAGAGATTAATACGGATTTGGTTAGTACCAGAAATATTAAATATGTATTACCATCAGCATGCCCACCTTATTCTGATATATTAGGTTTTGGTAGATGCTGGAGATTTATACATCCTGATAATTTATTATATCTGTTGGGGACTCTATTGGTAGAATATCTGTTCTTGAGTGTATGAGGTTTATTTGTTAAAACAGTAGAGCCTGTCCACTTAGCAAAGTGGATATTCACTTTGAAAAGTGTATGTTCAACGGGCGTAGAAAATAGGACAAAGATGGTTTCAGTTTAATTACCCAATCATATGCAAAGGAAACAAAAAAGAGAGGATTTTTGCTTGAACATCATTAGTTGATTGAAATAAACAGCTTATTTACTACGCAAGACGACTATTCTCTTTGGAAAGTAAACAGCCCCCACTACTTTAGTAAATTAACCATGTGTCTGCACACCAGCAGATGCCATTACAAGGGGTTTCCACTCTTCTAGTTGCATTTTCATTTATTTTGTATTACAAGGAATGCAACAGAAGCTGCTGGGACAAGTTTATGGTGGACTGACCTTTCAATGTTATGGGATAATTCGAAGCTAATCACCCACTTACTTTACCATCTTTTAAAAATAAATGTGTTAAGTAGTTTGTATTTCGAACCCTGCTTAAAAGGCAATAAAGACGGTGTGATTCTCTCGTAGCTGAACACATTTATTTATTTATATTCCATAACGTAAAATAGATAGCAAGGATAACTTGCCACAAACTTGGCAAGTCTAGAGTAAGAGTCCTGCAGGTCTTAGCAAGAGCTCTGCAAGCTCGCTGGTCTGGGGACTAGCAATGCAGACTTTCTGTAATTGTGCAACAAAATTGTGAAGCTTGGCAAGTCTGCAATAGTTTAGCAAGTCATTTTCAAACTTGCAGCTCAATTGCTTGCTATCTGGGATGTTTATTCTGTTGAGGGTTATATAGTCACTGGTGTGCTCAAAAGATATAAAAGTGTACCGTGAGAATCAGTTTGACAGCAACCATTTAAAACAGAATTATTAGCTTGGGTGCAGTTGAGTTTAAAGATACATTTTACTAACTTAGGACCTTTTGTCCCCCCACCTCCTCCATACATATTACAGCCCGAACACAGGCCTCAGGTTAGACATGATGTTTTAAAAGCTAAAGCTTTTGTTAGGCAGCAAATCACCTGTCCTTACATTACTAACATGTGCAGGGTTCTATAACAAAGAATAATGGAGGACCCATCTCAATGAAGGAATGAAATGGCACCTATCCTAAAATAAATTGTACTTCAGGAAGCTTTTGATCTAAGGCTTGTGCAAAGCATGTAACATTTGTAAGGAGGACCAGAAATCATCAATAAAAATATAATGCAGTATGAGTCCCTGCGGTAATCTGTCATTGGTATTTGATTTTTTTCCTCTATTGCAAGCTCCAGCAGTCCCCACACTGAGGGTTCTGAGCAGTTTACAACTACAATAGTGTTTAAATAAATTGCAATGTGTGCAGTAAATAGTATGTGTCAACAACACATCGAAACAGGTTAACTTCACTGGGATTAAAGCAAACATACCTGAACCCATTTTCATTGTATAGAAAATGAAGCCACGCAGTATCTAAATTTCTTTAATCACAAAAGAAACCCCCTAACTCAATGTTTTTTTCAGGACTGAAGCATAAAAAGGTGACATAAAAAGTCCCAACATTTGGTGTCAAGAAACAATGATACAATTATTGTTGCAGAAAAGCTTTTTGGCCACATGACACCATTTGAAGAAAGCATTCCCAGTTCATCAGTTTTGTGTGTAATAGTTGTGCATAACCCTAGCAAAGTGACTGATCCAATAAAATGCTTGTTGGTCTGAAGGGCCTAGGATATTGGTACAATGGGACTTACAGGGCATTTTTTTACCACTATTATTTTCTTATTTCTTGTTTTATGACTTTTTTTAATCTAGATCTTATCTATAAGGATCACATTCCCTCTATCTTTGGCAAGCACACAAAAGGGACAATGTTCCTGTGCATGTGTACTAAACTGATTTTTTTTTATTTGCAGTCTTTAAACTGGAAAAGGACTTATGGGTCCTGCTTAAACTGTTCAAAAGTTGCTGATACCTACTTGTTATATTCTTTTTATTTATTTATTTTTACTAACCTGCACTGCAAAGCTAACAGTTGAAATCTTAGGGCTCATTCACACATACAGTGGTGACTGGCATTTTTCCACACTGGATCAACCGCTAGGGCACAGAAAACAATTGTTTTCTATGTGCCCTGTTCACGAGACAATGTAGGTGTGATGTTCATAGTTACATAGTTACATAGTATTTGAGGTTGAATAAAGACATTAGTCCATCAAGTCCAACCTATTAGGATCTCATTCTAGGAGTACCCGTACCCCTGTATATTACGGTCCCTTAAGAAATCGTCCAAAAGTTTCTTGAACAATTCCACATTATTTGCTGAAATCACCGCCTGTGGCAGTGAGTTCCAGACCCTAACTGATCTTACTGTGAAGAACCCCTTTCGCCCCTTGTGCTGGAATTTTTTTTCCACCAATTTTAGGTGATGGCCTCTAGTTTTTGTAACGGAGTTAATTTTAAACAGTTTATCGCTAATGTTGCTACCACCATTAAACATTTTGTACATGGAAATCATATCCCCCCTTAATCTCCTCACCTCTAATGTGAACATGTTTAAATTTAGTAGCCTCGTCTCGTAGCTCTGGTCCTCCATACCCCTAATTAGTTTGGTTGCCCTTCGCTGGACTTTTTCCAACTCAAGGACATCTTTTCTTAGTACTGGTGACCAGAACTGGACCGCGTACTCCAGATGAGGTCGAACCAATGATCTATAAAGTGGCAAAATTATAGACTTGTCCCTGCAATACATCCCCTTTTTAATACAGGACAAGACCCTGCTAGCTTTGTTTACAGCAGCCTGGCACTGCAAACTACCTTTCAGTTTGTGGTCTACAATGACCCCCAAATCCTTCTCCATTTCTGACTTCCCCAGCGGCATACCCATAATTGTATAACCCATTTGTTTATTTTTAATTCCAAAGTGCATTACTTTGCATTTATCGACATTAAACCTCATCTGCCACATTAATGCCCACTCCCCTATTTTATCCAGGTCCTCCTGTAATGTTATAGTGTCTAAGTTATGTTCAATGCGGTGGGCTGCTGTAAAATTGAGACATGCCGCATTTTTCCACAGCAAATTGTCTGTCACTGGATGTCACAAAACCGCAACGCAATGCACTGCCAAAAGCACTGCCATTCGAATGGAATGGACGAAGGAATGAATGGAATATGCACTTTGTACACTCCAAATAAAGTTAAGAAAAAAAAAAGGGAACAGTCCCTAGTGTTGTAACAATGTAAAACATCATAACTCACAGCTGCCACTCAGCGGACACTAGTGGTATAATGCTGCGTTTTCCCATGAAGTTAGTGTAAAGTTGGCTTATATTTTCGAAAGCACTTTTGTATGAAAAAACTTTCTTTCGACCTTCTATTATTTGATGGGGTCAAATCAAATGATAAAATCAAAACAACATTTTGTTCGACATTTGTCAGGTGTCTGATGGCATTATCGGGTGGTAAAGAAAGGTCTTCCATTCAGAAATCTACTAATGGCCAGCTTTAGCAAGCCCTTATTGTTTTCTCTGTGCAATTCAGACACTGAGAATGCATGAAAATTATGGAAATTATAAGATAATAATGCAATACATGTTTAGGTAATCTATTTAGGGCTCATTCACACGACCGTTCATGGCCATACAGTGCCCAGATCAGTGTATCTCTGTTGTGAGTATTGACAGGCTTTTCTGATTAGCTGCAGACAATAAACCTGTAAAATCAGTGACATGTTGACATTGTCCACCACTGTTTGCATACAATGGCTCAGGTAGCAATTACATGCAGGTGGGGACAGATGAGCGGCTCTGTATGCAGACTGAGTCCAGGGCTGCTCATCTGTTCCCAACTACAGGTATTCGCTCCATGTGTCTGACGTTGATTTGTACAGGTTGAGTGGCTTCAGCTGATTGGAAACATTAAAAAAAATATTTGCTGAAGATGTACAGAACAATATTCTGTTCAAACTACCTCACAGTTTTGGCTTTATGCTTAAGATCATAGTGTTAATAAGGCTTAGCATTACAAATTATGAAGCATGTGTGCAGCATCCTATTTAATAATTATTAAATACATTTAAAAAATTAACTATATAATTAAAACAACTTGGTAATTTTTTTTTTACCTGTAGGCTTAAAATTAACATCTTCATCCATTTCAATTAATCCAACAGATGATAATTCATTTAAATTTTTCAAACACAGCTCTGTTATGCATAAAAATATATTAATTATTTCCAAAACAAGTTGAGGTTTGCCGTTTAAAATAGAATACAAATTAAGGCAGGTATAAAACAGGACAACATTTAGTATAGATTTTTAAATTACTACTTTGGATTTATACCTCTTTGTTTAGAAATGACTACAGCCAAAATAGTGATGTGTCCAATTTGCGTTTGTCAGAGAATCACCCGCTTTGTGTTCAATTGTGAATGCTCAACAATGCCAAGAAGGGGCATTGTTGAGCATTCGCATATGTCAGCAGGCTTTAGGGAGTGTCATGATTGAACCAGCATCATGCACCACTGTCATAGCCTGCCTGTCATAGCCTTTATTAGCTTGTGGGTGCAACCTTTTTCTGTATTTTGAACTGTCATTAGTTGCCCTGTTTCTTGGGTATGTGTGGGCTCTTGATCAAAATGTGATCTGCATTTAATGATATAGCAAAGGTACTTCAGTATTATTTGCTGTCTTTGCACCTGTGCCACAAGTAAACATTTTCCATATGCCGTTTTAGCTGACTTCTATAACCCAAAAATATCACTGCAGCATTGTGCATGGTTGAATTATTCATAATTATTATTAGTTTTGTTATGGATATCATAAATTCCAAGCAAAACACATTTATACTCCAAGGTCAAACTATCATTACGAGAAAAATAATCATTAATTCTGCAAAATAAGTCTGATTAAAACTTGTATCAGAATCTGTGTAAAACATTTGGTGCGATTTACGTAAGCTGAGATCCACAATAGAATAATTGTGTTAATTAGTTTCACAATTTTATCTGTTAAACATGATGGAAGATAACGGAAAGTTGAAGTAATGGATGCACTAGAGAACATAATGAGAAAATGTAAACAAAAAAACAAAAAACCTAGAAAATTACTATTTCCAAACCTTGCAATTCAGCTTCAATGCCCACTTTGTCTAATCCTCTTTGGAAGCCTACCAAATAATAAATATATTAGCAATTTCCAACTACAACGAATAGAAATGAAAAAAAAATGACCAGCAGACTGGGGAATGTACAAATGCCCTCTTGATTTGTTCAATATTGATTCATTATTGATTCCCATTATGCTTAAACTGTGATCACTAATAAAGGACAAAACAACATGTTCACTTTAATGCAGGCCCCACAAGCCGCTTATAACTTACCCCTCCACCATTCCATTAAGATGCTGCAAGTTAAAATAGGGCAGAAGACCTGTCCCCCCCCCCATATGCTTAGGGTTAGCACCGTGCTTGTGCAGCCAATCGCCAAATACCAGCACTGTCCCATGTGACAGTCACATACCCAGTGAGTCACGTACCTGGAAGTGCTCAATATTTTTGTTTGCTCTTAGCTGCCAAATAGAGAGGCTGGGGAGGCAAGGGAAGTCGAGTATGTACTGCATGTACTGCTAGTGGGGCCACTATTAACATGAACCTGTTGCCCTGTTATATACTATATATAGCACAAAACCTTGTTATACCAGACAGTGATGAATGCAATTTCTTTTGAAAACAACCTGCTCTGGAATAGTGTTAACATTTTACCAAACCTATATTTAAACTACTGCTGTATTTGGTTTGTCTCTGTATAATTAGATGTCAAATATCTGAAAACATACCATAGTGAGATGGATTCTTCAGTGTCCTGATGTATAAAAATGTTGATCGGATCCACTCCAATGCAATGTTAACATCTGTGATGGTATGCAGTGTTATTTCTGCGTTCAGATGTTCCACAAGATGTCTGTGCAGGCTGATAAAAGTGAACACAAATGTTACGTTTTCCAATGTCCATTTATAGTATGTGCAAGCAAACATACATTTTTTAAATTGTCCTTGCATGTGATTGGATATTTTTTCCAAAGTAAATCTTCACCACACATCACTAAGCTATGGGAAAATTCCCTTTAAAAGTTAAAATTCCCTTGCAAAATGAACAGCCTAGAAGATGCTGGTGGATGGTACAGCTGAAAAGGGTCTCATTAACAATACACAGTTAGGTTTTGGAGCTGGGCTTTAATACCTTTAACCTAAGCAACTATAAGTTTTGGCAGTTACACTGGGATCATAATATAATCACTGACCTGCTTTCAATTGTGTCTGCACCATCTAACATTTGTATATATTTCTCCTTAGTGCATGACCTTGTCATGATAACAGCCGTGGCTGAAGAATCAAACTGTGGCAGATAAAAATAATTGTTACTGTATATTGCAGTATCAGGGTACCAGTGTATATATTTGGTAATCACGAACATCATAGATGGAAGAAATTACTGGCTGGTTCTCTCGGTTATAACATATTCTGTTAGTAAAAAGAGATATGATGTTTTAGATTTAAAAATCCATGAAACTATGCTGGCTTGCGGCACCGAATATTAAAGTGGATGCCCAGCCAAAACTTTGTTATTAGTTTTAGATAGAGTGGGAATCGGTTAGACCCCCTATCAGGTATTACTGCTATCCAGGGCCCTGTTAGAGAGATTTCTCCTAATTTCCTGTACTGCTGACAATGCTTTACCAGACAGGAAGTAAGGGAAACTCTCAGAAACACAGACAAAAAAAAATGCTTTTCTTTAGTAGATTAAGGGAAGGCTAAAACCTCTGAAAACGTTTTATTTTTGTCTGTCTTTCTCTCTCTCACTTTCTGTTTGGTGAAAGTGTCGTCAGCAGCAGGGCAGACTAAGGGTAAATCTCTCTAACAGAGCCTCAGATAGTAGAAAAAAACTTGACAGGAGTTCTAATTCATCTCCCCCCTCCATTAGGCAATGATGGAACCTAACAAAATCAGAGTTTCATACTGCAATATTCATAGCTAACTGTTCCACGCTGTTTGGTGTATAGGGCACAAACCAGTGAAATAATTGACATGAACTGTTTTGTACATACTAATTTCTGTACAATATATGACAACTTTACCTGAGGTCTGCCTGCTCTTCCAATCATTTGCAGAATGTCTGTCTCGCTGTACTCCTGGAACATTCCTGATGCATAATGCAGTGTGGATTTTATGACCACCAAATGAGCTGGAAGGTTAACACCCATAGCCAAAGTACTGGTGGTAACTGGAGATATTAAATGAACATAAAACAACAAAATGTGAACCTGTGACATTAGCAAAGCAATGCAAAGATAGTCCTGATATTCACATACTGCTAGCTGGCATCTCCCACTTATTTTTCTGCAATAGTCTTCCCCTGTGTTTTTTCTGTTGTGTTATGTGCGTTAAGATTCATCCTATGGAAAGTGCACTTTTCTGGAAACTGCACCAAGCTGCACCACACACCAAAACATAGAGGGGTAAATACAGCCTTAGACGTATGATGACAGTCACTTGAACCTGCTGAAAATAGCTGAACCGGGCAGTTGGCGAGGGTTGGATCATGCCTGCTTATAGGACTTGATGGAGTCTCCCACCACCAGGATCTGCCTCTCCTGACCCTCCATCCTGCTCCCGTCCTCGCCGGAGCACTCACTCCCCCTGCGGATATAGGATGAGTCGTGCTCCAGCAGTGTCCCCCCTGAACTGATGTCCCCAACATCCTGCAACTTGGCAAATTTATTGGGGGTGAATCAGATCAGGGCTGACCTCTCTAGCACTCTTCCCCCTTATTACTCTTTAAAAGCCAGTACTCTATTAAATTAATTTTCATTAAGAAAAATCAGTTTACATTGTTTAAATAACAGAGTCTTACAAAGTACTGGCATATCTCCCTCCGTAAAAGCTGCTTCAATAATTTTCCTGTCAGCCACATCCATTCCAGCATGGTGGTATCCAACACCGTAAAGAATAAGATCTGTAAAGAAAGTATTTACTGAATAATACTAATAATATTAAGCTTACTCAGTCAAAAGATGGCAAACCTGTAACACCTGCGGGACTGTGGGAAATCAAAGCAGTGTGTGACATTCTGTGGTTCCGCAGATGGTGAATCAATGGCTTGCCGTTTCCTAGGCTTATGACTAAAACAAGCACATAGTACTGAAAAACTTGCCTCTCAGTTTTCCATCTTTTACAGCATTAGCAGACTTCTGCAGCCTAATAAAATAATATAAAGCAATACAATCAGTACTTTACACTGTAGCCAAAATATTTTAATAGGACACAGCATGGGTTATCCTACGATAGTTGGATAGAAGTATTGTATTTATAATAACTGCATATAAATATACATGTTTAAAAATGTAACCCTGATCTGACACACTGGACACTCTGGAAGACATCGGTGCTTATGGCAACATTGTCAAATGTTCAGACAAGTGTACACAATGTCATTCAGCATTTTTTCCAATGGCAAACCTACAAAAACAACACTGTCACACCCATTCTTGCTGTCACAAACCTGACTTAGAGCCCATTCACGGCGGGGCGGTTGCGGATCAGTTAACGCACTGATTTTAAAAGGGAGGTTTTGGGAGTTTTTAATTGCGTTTCAGTGCTGAAACACAATTAAAAACGCCCAAAAACGCGCTTATCAGCGCAGTTCCATTGAAAGCTGTATGGAGACCACACTGATCAGCGCAGCAAAAATAGTGCAGGGAGCAGTTCAGGCAGGTTGGGGGTCGGATCGCGCTGAGACACGCGGGCGCATTAACGGTCCCCATAGCAACGTATAGGATCGTTCATGTCGGCGGGCCCTTATAGTTATCCTTAGAATTTACAATAAGCATGAAAACCGTGCATACGTAAAGACTTATAATAATAATAATAATAATAATAATAATATATGTAATAATGTTTTCTACCAAATAAAAGCCATGCATCTCCACCACATATTACATTATTAAAGGCTACAAACCTAAACAATTACTTGGCACAAAACCATCACAAATCCAAAATGAAACAGTCCCAGAGGGGGGAAAAGTCAGTGTTTGCGAGGTAGTTAACTAACATGGCATGCTCACTTTAAATAACCTACTGCAGTGTTTGTGTCAATGTAATATCCATAGTGATATTTGATTTCTCTTCACTTAAAACCTTACACCTACAAATAGTAGGTGGAAATGTAAATTGTCAAAACTGTGTGAATAAAAACAAACCTTTGCTTATGCTCAATGCTCATGATAAATTTTGCATCTTTTGCGAAGATAGAAGCAGCTTGTTGTACTCCTTTCCTGGTGGCACAAAACTAAGATAAAAATGTTTATTTTAGAATCATTATAATTGGTAAACAGGATCAAGAAAACAGAAAGGAAGATTTAAAAAAAAAAAGAAAATATTTACCACAAGCGTTGGCTTTTGGTCAGAATAGGTCTGTATAACACCTGCTACCTTATAGTTAAGGGTTATATCGAATTTATATTCTGTTTGATTAGCACCACTAGGATATCCTAATACCACTTTGCGTAGTTTCACTGGTCGGTGAGATTCGTCCATTTTCATACAAATGGCTTGACACTCTCCATCTGATAGCCACTCTGTAATCTAAATGAACAACATAGGAACAAGCATGCATATTCAACTTAATCAGTACAACTGGATAATTGACAACTGACCAATGGATCATGCAGAATTCAGCAGTCGTATCGTTACTGTCTGAAGGTACATTAAAAGCTAGAATAGACAGTAGATTTTGTAACCCTTTATTGCGGCTATACAGAATCAAATCTGTCACCAACAAAGACTGCAGATCTAGCTATTCTGAGTCAAATGGATAGCTGTTGGTAACCTGTAATTTTATTAACAGGGTAAGTCCCGATAAAGGAAAAATTGAGTTCCTAGTGTTTAAATATTCTTCTGTCTCCTTAAAAAGTAAAGGATAACTGCACCTAAAAGCAGTTATCAAGCAAGTGCAGGAGCTGTAACCTATGCTGCGTGATGCTCCTATCTTCCTTGGAGTTGGCAGTGCTATATCATGCATGCCTACTATGCAGAAGGCCAATAAGCATTTAGAAATAACCATATAGAAAAGACACCTCCTTGCAGGCCTGCAACTAGATGAGTTTCTGTTTGGAAAAAGCCATGCATACACCGTATTGCACAGACCTGTCGGCTCCGAGGAGGACATGATCAATCAAGTAGCCCAATGATTTGAGGCATAAACAAAATAGGGTATACACAGTAAAGTGAGGGCAAGTTGTGCTGTTAGGCATAAAGTGTTTGAAACAATACTTTTTGGTTCATTTTGACAATGCATTAATTCAAACAGTGTTCTTTTTGGCATTTGTGGATTATTGAAAACATGTTATATGATTAAATTGACTGGCTACCACCACTGCACTGAAATACAAGTGGCCAATACTTTATTAAAAGTGATAACATATTCACTCTAATACTGGGCAAAGCAATAATGTACAGTTAAAGGAGACATACATCATTAGCATTGGGAATTGTTGCTGAAACAGCCACAAATCTCATGGGTAGTTGTATGCCTCCACTGTTGGTTGATGCCAGCAAAACCTGCATTGTTTTCATCCTGCTGATCACAACTTCAAGTGTTGCCCCTCGGTTTTCATCCTTCAATGTGTGCACCTAAGAAGACAGCAGATTATTAGAAACAATTTTGTATATGACTAAGGAAATGGAGTGATAATCCCAACTATGACCTACATTGGCTGGATAATAACACCTTTACTACATACTTATTAATCCAACTGCATATAATAAATACAACATTAAAGGTTTATATATTGGCATAATTAAACATATAATGGTATTTAATCTATACATTGGCTGGACCTCAGGGTTTCTTGAACAGTGAACTGTGTCAGACTGATCTCCTGTCTGAGTCTGCATGGTTTCAATACCAAACTCATTAGAGCAAGCAGTGAAGGACCAGTGGAGTGTCTACTCTCACTGACCACTAATGTAAGGGGGCACTATACCACCCTTCAATGCAAGGAGGCATTTCTCCACTGACTACCAATTTAAATGGACCCTACAGGTTTTTATTTGCTTAATTTTTATGATTATTACTTAAAATTAATTTGTAATACAGAGCAGGAGGTGTTAAACATGATCTGTCCTGGGTTTCAAATGCCCAATTCTTTATACTTGTATTACTATATCTACAATTTATCATGCTGCACTGAAGACATAACCATTAAGGGTTGCCTGAATATCACTTAAGGGTTCCTCCTCAGTAAGAAAGTTTGAAAAAGTTTGCTCTAGTATGCATATAATCACTAGGTAAAATTCTAAATTAAAAGTATTCAATAGCATAAGTCTGTCCATAAAAAAAATCCTCAAGTTTATAAATAAGCAAAACATGACATTTGTAGAGCTGCAAAAAGAAAACCAATCAGAGACAGCAGAGTATAAGGGTTAAAAGCAACTTCATGTAAATGCATGTTCATTGTATGAAAAATATGTCGTATTCTGCTTTCGAAAAACTTGTATAATCATACAATATGCAATAGTCCATATTGTGCCTTTGGCTAGAACTGTTTGTGAAATTAGACAATTGTGAATAAAGTAAATACTGTTATACAGCATTACTGCTACACAATAAAATAAATATCAAACAGAAACAGATGTATACTTTGGCTTACATACTTGTACAAAAATTACCAATGTTACATAGTATTTGAGGACGCAGGCAGCATGTATATGGTACATTCTACTGATGTACTGTGTGCGTATGTATCAGTCCTTGTTTGATCTAATTCTTAAGAGTACCTGTACCCCTGTATATTACAGTCTTTAAGGAAATTGTCCAAAAGCTTCTTGAATGATTCCACACTCTTGGCTGAAATCACTGCATGTGGCAGCGAGTTCCAGACCCTAAGCGCTCTAACTGAGAAGAACCCCCTTCGCCCCTTGTGCTGACATTTTTAAGATGGTGGCCTCTAGTCTTTGTTATGGAGTTAATAGTAAAGAGTTTGTAGCTAATGTTGCTATCATCATTGAACATATTGTACATGAAAATCATGCCCCCCCCTTAATCTCCTTACTTCCAACGAGAACATATTTAAATTTAGTAGCCCTGTCTCATAGCTCTGGTCCTCCATACCCTTAATGAGTTTGGTTGCCCTCTGCTGGACTCTTTCCAGCTCAAGGACATCCTTTCTGTGGACTGGTGACCAAAACTGGACCGCATACTCCAGATGAGGCCGAACCAGTGTCTATAAAGTGGCAAAATTCAGAGTTAGGACTTACCGGTAACTCTATTTCCATTAGTCTTCCAGGACAGCATCACGAGATGGAATCTCCTCCCCCACACACAGGAAACACGTCACTTAATCTGTTTAAAAGACCCTCCTCTCCTCCACTCCCTCAGTCATCACGAGAACCGAAGGCAAGCTGGAAAAAGACAAGGCACATACAGGCAATACCACCACATCACATTAATACTACAAGCATCAATGGGCGGGCAGTTGCTGTCCTGGAAGACTAATGGAAATAGAGTTACCGGTAAGTCCTAACTCTGAATTTCCCATAACGTCTTCCAGGACAGCATCACGAGAGGATAACCAAGAACTTACCAATTAGGGCGGGACCACAGCTTGTAGTACCTTCCTTCCAAATGCCTGATCCCCTGCGGTATTGAGATCTAGGCGATAATGCTTTGCAAAGGTGGAGAAACTTGACCATGTTGCCGCCTTACAAATCTGTTCCGG